TTTGTTTTGCATGACCACACTCTAGGGCTTAGAAGTTCACCTGTCAATAGGAGAAATGGTTTCATATCAACAGAACAATGAGTCAGTGAAATAATAAACAATACTAGTTTCTCTATATAGTCGTATATGCCAAAATATTTTTATCCCCACAACAAATTTTGAGAGGGATTATCACTTTATTCTATGTGAATGAATTTAGGCCCAGAGATTAAAATAGGATTAATATTTTCTTTTAAAAAGTATCTAGGCCTTGTTTAGACAAGACTGTGGAAGGCTTTGATTAACAAGATAAGAAAATTGAACATAATTACGAAGGTAATGAGAGACTATTAAACTATCCATAAAGGAGAATCACAATATGGCAACTTATTTCAGAAAGTTTGATCTGTGATGATGTATTATACATATTCAAAGGGGAATCCTGGGATAGGTAACAAGTTTAGAGTTTTTCAACTACAAAGTGAGAATTGAAAGTAAGCTGAATTGATAGTAATGAACAGAGGAAAGATTGTTAATAATGAACAATTGACTGCTGCTGCAAATGGCCAAAAATTATTAGAATGCTGGCTCTGTGAAAACAGAGATCTTGTGTTTTATTTTCTATTCTCTGTTCATTCATATCTGGTATATAGCAGGTACTCAGTACTCCTGGGGAAAATAAGATAAAAGCCAATAAATGTGGTCAAGCATACTAGGTGCTATGGCAGGGGTAGTAAACAAACCATCAAATGGGAGGGTCTGGTGGTGTATTAATTAAAGGAGTTTTATAATAATTGAATAACAAGAGCAGACTTTTAAAAATATAGAAGTCTATCAAGCGGCAATGAGCACAAGCTGTAGAGAAAGTATCAAGGGGCCAGAATCAACTCTGGGGGTAATGGAAAAATTGATGAAGAAGGTGATGAAGGCTCAGATTAAGAAAGTGGTGGCAGGGATTGAGACCATGGCATGGCTTAGAGAAAATAATGGTAAAGCAGACAGTGAAACCAATGACTTCTGATTTGTCCAAAGGATAGAGCATGTTGCAAAACAAAACAGAAGAGGAAGACAAAGTTCTTGTTATCTTGTCTATTCTTGTTACTGAGTCTGTTCCCGCCTTTATGTGACAGGGTGGAGCTGTTGAGCTACAGTATTTTCTAAGGCTGTACTTGTGCAGAAACAAATTGAAATATAATTTGTCTTGTGCAAGGGCTGGTAGTCCCATGGAATAAATAGGCTTTTTTGTCATCAGTTGAGCATATAACCATTGAGCCACCAAGATTCCATGCAAAGAAGTTACCCAAGCCAAACCAATCTAATTGCAACCGAGCAGATTTCAACTCATAGAGGCCTTACAGGACAGATCAGAGCTGTCCCGTAGAGTTTCCAAGAAATTAAATCTTTATAGGAGCAGATGACTATTCTTTGGATGACTGATGGTTTCAGACTACTTGTCTTTCAATTAGAAGTCAAACGCTTAACCATTGGGCCATCAGGGCTGCTAAGAGGAAGCTGGATAGAGGAAATAGTGAATTTAATTTAGGCATATTGACCTTGAAATGTCAGTGGAATAGAAGAGTGATTTGTGGATAGTAACCTGGTACATACAGGTTATTATCATGGTTCAAGTTCCTGGAAAGGTCCAGGAATCTGAGAGCTGGACAGTGAATAAGGATGACAGAAGAACTGATGCCTTTGAGCTGTGGTTTTGGAGAAGAGCACTGACATTCCATGGACAGCCGAAAGAACAAATATATCATGGAAAGGGTGTAGCCAGAGTGCTCTTTGGAGAGTGCTCTTTATAGAAAGAGGTCACAGGTGACTCCTGTGAACTATGTTTAGCAGAGTGTGATTTATTGCCTCTGAAAACCCTCTGGAGGGACTATGCATTTGTTCCGACTCCACAGCACACAACAAAAACAACATGTTTACAGAGTAGTATGATGCACTGGAAGCTAGATTTCAACAGGCCTAGAACTAGTGGGTCACAAGTCATAAATACATTATTTCTTCAAGTACTCAGTTTCTAACAGCAGAGAGAAATATAATAGTAGCTAAAGAGAAAGTAAAAACTGGGAGCAATGTTATATTGTGTGTTTTTCTGTTTTACAAGGATGGAAACAATGACACTCAAATCCATATCACTAACCTTGACTTTTACCTCTTGATCTGAGTCTACATCCACACAATTGCTTAACATATCTTAAAGTACAGACAACCCAAATGCATACCTGATCATCCTAATCCCTTCTGTGTTTTTTTGTGTTCCATATAATTTTCCCAAAGTCAAACTAGAAGACTACACTCATCTTTCATCAGCTACTTCAGATAAGTGGTCATCTCTTACACAGTTGAAATAACATCCATATCTTCCTTTCTTAAGTACAGATCCAAATCCCTTCTTGAGTGGTCTTCATCTGATCTGCCTTAGAACATTCTCTTTAAAATGGGACTATGAGGCTGTCACCTTTCCATCGCAGATGATTGATCAATCTCTTAATACAATCAAGGGAGCCTATCTCAAATTATCACTCCCTTGATAATGATTTTTGAATACAAGAGAATTATCTTGAATACAAGATAAAGATATGAGTTCCTAAACAAGACTGTCTAATTTGTGTCATAATTTTTTTACTTAATTTATCACTCCAAAAAATGACTTCTTAGCAATGTCAATGTGATTGCAGTTTCATGCACACAGCTCTTAACACTTTCTGCTACTGTTTCTGCTTTCTACTTCATCTGGAACCCATGACTTTGGTTAAGTCTTTCTCATCTTTCATTCAGATCAGAACCTCTACATGTTTTTCTTGTTTTGTGCCATCAAGTCGCCTGAGACTCAGAGGGTGTCATAACAAATTATAACAAATTTAGTGGCTTAAAACAGTGCATTTTATTAACTTACAATTCTAGAGACTAGAAAGCTAGAATCAGATTCACTGTGCTAGGCTCTGGGAGGAACCCATTTCTTTGCCTTTCCCAGTTTCTAGAGTGGCATCTCTTAGCTCATAGCCCCTCTCTCCACCTTCAAAGCATCTTGCTTCTATCAGCACATTGCATGCTTCTCTGTGAAGTCTCCTTCTGCAATCCTTTTAGATAGACACTTGTGATTGTATATAGGGCTCACCCAGATAGTTCAGGCTAATTTTCCCACCTCAACATCTTCAACTTAATCATGGTTGTAAAGTTTATTTTGTTATATAAAGTTATATTAATATATTCCATGGAGCTGGTCATCTTGGAGGCCACTGTACAGACAACCAAACATTCAAATACACATCACTTAAGAATATTCTTAAAGAGCAATGTAATATATTTAAAGACCGAGGTGGGTCTGACCCCCATTATGGTATTTTCAGTTTCTTAATATGCTTGTAGAGGAAGCTCTGGTGGCCTTGTCCATTGAGAGTTATGTTGCTAATTCAAAGGCTACAGTTTCCTGGTAGTTTGAATTCACCAGTAGCTTCCTGGAAGAAAGAGAGGCACAATTTACAACCTCAGAAAACCCAGGAGAGGATCAGCTATGAGTATGTTCTGACTTCAGTGAATCATATGTATTTGAGAGTGGGATAACGAATAAAGGGTGGTTGAAGAATAATTGATGGCTTTGAATTGTGCTGTTATTGGTGAAGAGGAGTGAATATCCCATGGGTTGAGTCAAAATAGCAAAATTTAACAGAACAAATTTGTTTTATAATAAGGTCAGCCAGGATGCTCCTTACAGAGAAGGATGATGAAACTATCTTACATATTTTAGGCATATTGTGAGAAGGTGTCATTCCTTGACAAAACACAACATTCTTGGAAAAGTAGAGGGACAGTGAAAGACAGTAAGACCCTCGAGAAGATTGATTAACACAGTGACTGCAACAATGGGCTTGATTATGGAGGAGACCATGAGGATGGTACAGGATATGACAAAGTTTTGATCTGTTTTTCATAGAGCTGTTATGAGTAGAGGTCAACTTGAGGACACCATCCAACTAGAAGCATATGTTTTTTACTTAGCCTTAAGTCCTTCCTCATATATGAGGTTGATTAAGAGCCACTTTTACTATGGTAGGCTGTGTGTATTACTGTCATAGAGTTCACCACAATAATTACAAATTTTTGCATGTGACTCTCTCTCTCTCCAGATTTTGAGCTTCTTGAGGTTTGATTTTTTCCCCCTTGCTTCTTCTTACACCTTCATATTTAACATGTTTATCTGGCACATAGCAGTTGCTCCAAAGCTTGCTAAACTGAGAAATGAGAAGAGCAAGGAGACCCAGGAGAGAAGAGAACATGCAAAGAGGCTGGAGAAGAGGCAGTAAGGGACAGAGTAAAAAAGAGATCATATTTTAGTCTTGATTAGTCTTGGATAGAAGAGATTTTGTTAACTGAGGACAGTAAGAGGGAGCAGGTAAGTAGATATAGGTGGTAGGAGATGAAGAAAGTTTCAGATGAGGGCTTCCTTTTCTTTGTTAAACAGGTGATTGAGCCATGTGAGTTCAATCAAATTTGGAGAATATAGTGGCAACTGAAGAAACACATAGGGCATACTTGCTGGAAAAGGAGATCTGGAATGTTGTTGTTGTTGTTGTTAGATGCCATCAAGTTGAGTATGACTCATAGTGACCCTATGAACAGAAGATCTGAACCATGCCTATCCTGTGCCATCCTCTCATGTCCTGACACACAAGAGCCCATTGCAGCAATCACTGTGTCAATCCACCTGGTTGAGGGTCTTCCTCTCCTTCGCCGAGCCTCCACCCTTCCCAGTGTCATGTCTCTCTCCTAGGAGTAGCCCCTTCTAGCAAGATGTCCTAAGTATGTGAGGTGAAGTCACATCATTCTTGCCTCCAAAGAGCATTCTGGCTGCACCCTCTCTGAGCCACATTTGTTTGCTCTCTTGGCCATCCATGAGATGTTCAGTGCTCTTCTCCAACACCACAACTCAAAGGCATCAATTCTTTTTCTGTCATCCTCATTCATTGTCCAGCTTGCAGATGCAGAAACATTTTATTCAGGGACTTTGCAGGTCATATGCTTGAAATTCTTTTTCTAGGCAAAGTTTTATATATTCTCAGACTATTTTCTCTGTGCATGTGTTCAAATGCTTGTGTCTGCAAGTCTTTGCTTTTCTGTGAGGCTGCAGGCTTGCCACCAGTACTGGAGTTGACTCTCATGATGCTGCTGGTGGCAGAATCCAGTGAAGCTTGGCTCATGGCAAGGACGCCTGCACTGTGGGAAGAGTAACTGTAGATCATCTGGAGGAAGGCAGATTTCGTGTTGGTCTCTTGCTTCCAAAGAATAACATAACATTTGGGGAAGAATGTGCAGCACAAGATCCCATAATTTGATATCAAGATGACAATGATCTCCACTGCTGGGAGGTACTTGCCAAATGTGTTAGCATAAACAGGGATGAATGTGATCCAAGCTATGAAGTAAATGAGCATGCCAAATGTTATGAACTTGGCCTCATTATAATTCTCAGGCAATTTCCTGCCTTTGAAGGCAAATATGAAGCAAGTGAAGGCGAGGATGGCAATATAGCCCAGCATGGTGCCAAAAGCAAGTATGGACCCTTCCTCACATTCCAGGATTATGACTCTGGGCAGAGAGACATTCTCCTCCACCACGGGTGCAGCATAAATTAGCCAGAGTGTGCAGATGACAACCTGGACACCTGTACAAGTGAGGATAATGGGGACAGGCTTGTAGAGACACTTCAGGAAGTTCTGCAACTTGGGGTCAAAGCTGAAGGCTAGCAAAATTTTCAGGGACTTCATCAAAATGCAGGAGATGCAGAGGGTGAAGCTAACTCCAAACAGAGTCTGCCTGGTTTGACATGTGAAGTTTTGTGGTTCCCCGACGAAAAAGCCAGTGCTGGCAAAGTTGAGAAAATGACAGAGGAGGATGACATAGCAGACGGTCAACCCTCCTGATGATTTTACTATGGGTGTGTTCAGATTTCTTGTAAATATTATGCCAATGGCCAGAACAAACAGGATTCCAAGCAGGGAGAGGCCAAGGAGCAGGATGGCCAGGGAGTCATCCCAGCTGAGAAATTCGACTTCCTTCTCGTAGCATGTGGTGCTCCTGACAGGGGCCCAGTGCGTCTCGTTGTTGCATAAAAGACAGCGATCCATATCTAGAAACAGAAGAGTTAGTTACTTTGTGACATCTAAACCTAAGTGGCAGTCCACAACACTACAAATGAGACTCACTCTTCAAAGAGATACAGATTATTGTCACGTTGATTATGTGTTAAAGAAAAGCCTGTACAAAACTCAAAGAATGTGAGAGGAGAGGAACAAAGATAAGAAAAGGAGAAGGGAAGAGTGAGAAAGAGCAAAAGCAAGTGCTAGCTGGGCTGCCGAGTTGTTGTTGGTGTGTGCCGTGGAGTCGGAAGTGACTCATAGCTGACCCTCCAATGGGTTTTTTGAGGCAGTAAATCACACCTATGGTGATTGCAAATCTTTCTCCCCTGGAACAGTAGGTGGACTCAAACTGTGTGCTTTTGTGATTGCAGCACAGCTTTTTACCACTAGGCCACCAGAGCTCCCTGCTGGCCACTAGGAAATCAGTATGCTCAAGATAAGCCAGCCTCTTAGAAATACATTGCTGCTGGCTCTGATAAGAGCATGAGCTATGTAATGAGATGGATCTCAATCCTTTTCCTGCTTCCACTTTTTGTCATCTTGAACAAGGTAGTTTACATTCCTGAACCTCTTTCCAAGTCTCTTAAGAGAAACACAACCAGATCCTATTTGATTTCAAAGAAATAATGCAAATACAAGGTTCACATAGTGCATGGCAAACAGTAGGCACTAGATATGTGGGAGCTGTTAATTATGAATAAGACTGTAGTTCTTTCAAATCAAGAGCCAATATGGCTAGACTACCCTGAAAGCTTGATATCTCTTCCTAACAAGGAGAGAACACAAGATTATAATCAAGGCCAGTCAATGAAGAATTCAAGTTTATATTCCTCTAGGGAGTTTGTAGAATTATATCTCTCATGCTAATACTGATACACTAAAAAATGATATTGATTTTGCCTCCAAGTAAGTATAGCATGACAAGTTGATATTGCAATAGAATATTGGTGGATGCAATTGCATCCCCTCCCCCCACCCCCAGCCAATTTCTATCCTCTGGGGAGTAGGCTTTCCACTGCTCCCAAAAAGCCTAACTCAGGAGCTCTGTTGTTGTTATGTGCTGTTGAGTCAATTGCAACTCATAGTGACCCTATGTATAACAGCTCTAAACTTTGCTCTGTCCTGTGCCAATCTCACTGTCTCCGACACACACATCCCAATAGCCCCAGTCACTGAATCGATCCATCTCCCAGAGGGCCTTCCCCTCCTGCGCCTGCCCTCCACCCTCCCAAGCATGATGTCTTTCTCCAAGGACCGGTCTCTCCTTACAACATGACCAAAGTATGTCAGACGAAGTCTCAGAATCCTTGCCTCCAACAAGCAGCCCGGTTTAACCCTCTCCAGGATGAATCTGTTTGTTTTCTTAGCAGTCCATGGTACCCTTGCCACTCTTCTCCAACACCAAAGCTCAAAAGCATCAATTCTCCTTCTGTCCTCCCTGGTCATTGTCCAGCTCTCTGATGCATAACAAGTGATTGCAAAGACTATGGCCTGTACCAGATGCACCTTAGTGTCCAAAGAGACATCATTGCTCTCCAGTACTTTGGAGAGGTCCCTAACAGCAGACTTACCCATCCCAATAAGTCTTTTAATTTCCTAGCTGCTGGTGCCAAGAGTGTTGATTGTGGAGCCAAGAAGACTAAAGCTGTGAACAATCTCAATCTCTTCACCATCCACCTTGATGCTGCCAATTGATCCAGTGGTGAGAATCTTTGTCTTCTTGACATTGAACCTCAATTCATATTGAAGGCTACAGTCCTTGACCCTCTGCAGCAAGCGCTTCAGGTCCTCCTCAGTTTCATCAAGCAGGGTTGGGTCATCTGCATAACACAGATTGTTGATGGATCTTCCACCAATCCTCATGCCACATTTCTCCTCATAGAGTCCAGCCTCCTGGATGATCTGTTCTGTATATAGGTTGAAAAGGTATGGAGATAGGATGCATCCCTGGCGTACGCCCTTCCCAATTTTGAACCATACAGTGTTTCCCTGCTTTGTTCTGGTGACTGCCTCTTGGTCCAAGTATAAGTTTCTCATTAGCACAATCAAGTGTTCTGGGATTCCCATTCTTCTCAGAGTCAGCCACAGTTTGTTATGGTCTAGGTGATTAAAATACTTGGTGCCCATTTAACATTTTAAAATTTCCATGCTTTCTCTCTTAACTTTATAATTAAGTTGTCTTTCTGTTTACAAACCGCATCATCTTTCTAGTATACTTGTCTTCCAACCAATTAGTCCATTACCAATGAATCAACTCTGGTGATGACAACCTCATGCATATCAGAATAGAACTGAACTCCATAGTATTTCCGATGACTGTGATCTTTCGAAATCAAATTCTTGGCTTTTTCCTCAGGGCACTTTTGGGTGGGTTAGACCTGCAGATCATTCTGTTAGTAGTCAAGTATTCAACCTATCAAGGGACATTTCTCTAACAGAGACTCCTTTACCAAGAGCTATTTCCCTGCCCTTGTATTTCCCAATTGCTGCTGCCAGCGTCATCCATTTTACTTACTCAGTGAATAGTCACTAGCCTTTTCTATGTACTAGATGTTGTTGTTGTTGTTGTTGTTATGTGCCATCGAGTCGCCTGCGACTCATAGCGACCCTATGTATATGGTTTAATGTTGGACTTCTAAAAAATAAGACAAGAGATTATCCTAAGTGTGCTTTTGTCCTTAGTTTTCTATATTTGCTTAAAGAAGCATTTTTTCTCAATCATAAAAGAGAACCCAGTTCTGAATTTGGAAGATCACTGTATATCTTTGTGTGGGGGAAAATGGCACATACTTCCTACTGATTTTAATTTATTCTACTTGACAAAGTATACTAGGATATTCTACTATATTGTATGGAAATGCTCTGATCCTCACTCCCCATTAATCGTCTAATTTTTTAGGCAACACAGTCCATTTCAGGGTGGCAATTTGTGAGACAGTGACAGGACATGAATATTGGAATATTTATATTAGCATAATTCTGCATTATTGGAGCATATGCAAAAATAACCATATGTGGGTTATTCTGGCCCTAGGATACTCAGCTTTTGTAGAATAAGAATAGGAATGCTTTTAAAGTAGCTTTAACTCTAGGGAAAGTACTGCTGGTGCCTGTTAGGACCTGTAAGGCTGCTGATTTCACTCTTGCTTTGTAATTTGTGTATTTTGCTCTGATGTGGTAAAATTGAGAAAGATAGGGTAGGCAAACAATCAGTTACTAGCACCTCATTGTCAATGGTTACTCCTCTGTCTCAAAGGGAGTTCTTTCTTTTCAGGCTTAACTTTTGGATTTTGATAGGAATAGTAAGATCTCCAGGGTATGCACACTAGTTTCTTAACACCAGGCACCTCTGGGTATCTATTATTCTCTTTATGTAATTCAGCATTATATTGATTTATATGTATTGTGCCTCAAGTACAACCAAGATGTCTATCTATGTCTGGAGATGCACAGAAAATACTGACACCTTATTTACAGTATTGTAAGAGTTGTTTGTGAGAGGATGGTGGGAGAATGACACTTCCTTTCAGAAGTGAAGTTACCTTTACAATCCTCTTATTTACTGGCTGTGTGCTATTCATATAATAAAGCAACTATCATGATCAAATTAATCTCATTAGAAAATAAGCTTTCCAAAATATGAGTAGCTTTTTTATAAACAAAAACAATAAATCAAAATAGGACTCAAGTAAAAAAAGTCAGCCAATGATAAGTGGCCAGTTGCGTTACTAAGTGTTGTAGTGACTGTACTTACCTGTCTGATTAGTGTAATGATTTTCAGGGCAGTTCACACATTCATAGCAGCAAGTATGTTGACTCTTCGTAGTTTTCTTCATTTGTCCAGGACTGCATTCTTTAGAACATTTAGATTCAATTTTCTGTATTAAAAGTGGGAAGAAATCTCAAATAGATGTTTTTTTAAAAGTCAATAAATTTTGACATAGTTTAAAAATGTATTTATAGGTAGAAGGTCAGACAAAGAGAGAAAGACCTTCAATGAGATGGATTCACAGAGCGATTGCAACAAGCAATCGTGAGCATGGTGGAGATCGAGCAGGTGGTACAAGACAGAGCAAGGGTCAGAGGGTCACGATGAACCGAGTCGACTCTATGCTGTAGTCATAGCGACAACAAAGGCATATTTATCAAACAACATTTTGGACTTTTTTCATAGGACAGAATTTTTGTTATCTTGAGGCATATGAACATTTTAAGAAATAGAAAATGTTTCACATACAGTAACTGCTCTAGGCAGATCATAGTTTTTATCCACTCTTAATTATGGATATTAGTTCTTTAAGAAATACCCAACACAGAGATAATATTAGAGGTAAAATGAAAGAAAGGAATGATGATCTACATATTTTCAATTCTGTTCTTTATAAAGAGTTCCAGGATATATGAAAATGTAATTATTTGGTTTTTATATTAGAAGCTCTGGTGGTCTAGTGGTTAAGGACTTGTGCTGACAATCCAAAGGCAGAGAGTTCAAATCTACCAGCTGCTTTTAGGGTGAAAGAAGGTAAGGTTAAATTAAACCCTAAAAAGTTTAACAAGACAACTTTAGAGATGTGTTGTTGTTATGTGCCGTTGAGTCGCCTGCGACTCATAGCGACCGTATGTACAACAGCCCTAAACCCTGCTTTATCCTGTGCCAGTCTTATTGTCTCTGACACACCTACTCCCATTACACCCCAGTCACTGAATCAATCTATCTTATCAGGGGTCTTCCTCACCTGTGCTGTCCCTCTACCCTCCCAAGCATGACATCCCTCTCCAAGGACAGGTCCCTCCTTGCAACATGTCCAAATTACGTCAGACAGAGTTTCAGAATCCTTGCCTCCAAGGATCAGCCTGGTTTCACCCTATGCAGGATGAACCTGTTCGTTCTCTTGGAAGCCCATGGTATATTCAATACTCTTCTCCAACACCATGCTTTAAAGCATCAATTTTCCTTTTATTATCCCTAGTCATTGTCCAGCTCTCTGATACATAGCGAGTGCAAAGACCATGGCCTGGATCAGGCACACCTTAGTCTCCAGACTAACATCACTGCTCTTCGATACGTTAGAGAGTTCTCTGACAGCTGACTTTCCCAATGCAGTTCATCTTTTAATTTCCTGGCTGTTTGTGCCAAGAGTGTTGATTGTGGAGCCAAGCAAACTAAAGCTCTTTACAATCTCAATATATTCACCATCCATCACAATGCTGCCAATCAGCCCAGTGGTAAGAATCTTTGGTTTCTTGATACTGAATTTTAATCCATATTGAAGGCTACAATCCTTGACCTTCTGCAGCAAGCACTTCATGTCCTCCTCAGTTCAGTAAGGAGGGTTGTGTCATCTGCATAATGGAGATTGTTGATGAGTCTTCCTCCAATCCTGATGCCACATTTCTCCTCATTGAGCTCAGCCTCCCAGATGTTCTGTTCTGCCTACAGATTGAAAAGGTATGGGGATAGGACACATCCCTGGCATACATCCTTTCCAATTTTGAACCATGTAGTGCTTCCTTGCTCTGTTCTGACCACTGCCTCTTGGTCCAAGTATAGGTTTCACATTAGCACAATCAAGTATTCTGGGATTCCCGTTCTTCTCAGAGTTAGCCACAGCTTGTGATCCACACAGTCAAAAAACTTTGCATTGTCAATGAAACACAGATAGACATTCCTCTGGTATTCCCTGCTTTCAGCCAAGATTCTTCTAACATTAGCTACAATATCCTTAGTACCACAACCCCTTCTAAACCCAGACTGCACTTCTGGCAGTTCTCTGTTGATGTGTTGTTTCAGTCATTTTTGGATAATCTTCAACAGAATCTTGCTTGCATTTGATATTAATTATATTGTTCAATAATTCCCATGCTTTGTCGTATCAACTTTCTTTGGAATGGGAACAAATATAGATCTCTTTCAGTCAGTTGACCAGGTGGTTGTCTTCCAGATATCTTTGCACAACTTGGTGAGCATCTGTTTGTTGAAATATATCAATTGGTATATCATCAAATCCTAGGGCCTTGTTTTTTTACCGATTCCTTCAGAGCAGCTTGAACTTCTTCCTTCATCACCATAAATTGTTTTATGAAATTCTTCTGTTAATTACTTTTGGTACAAGGACTCTGTATACTCTTTCCATCTTCTTTTACTACTTCCTGGGTAATTTAATATTCTGCTCAAAGCATCCTTAAATATTGCAACTCAAGGCTTGAATTTGTTCTTCAGTTCCTTGAGCTTAAGAAATGCTGAGTTCAACTCCTTTGATTTTCTGACTCCAGCTCTTTGCACATTTCATTGTAATATTTTGTCTTCCCACACTGACTCTTGAAATCATCTGTTTAGCCCCTTAATATCCTGATTTCTTCCTTCTGCTTTGGCTTCTTGGTGCTCTAGTGCAATATCCAGAGTCCCTTTTGACATCCATTTGTTCTTTTCTGACCTTCTGCACTCTCCATGGATGACATCCTCCCATAACTCATCTGGTCTTCGCTCATTAGTTTTCAAGGCCTCAAACCTGTTCCTGTGATGGTTTTGAAATTCAGGTAGGATATACTCAAATCATATTTTGGTTCCCATGGATTTGATTTCATTTTCCTTAGCTTTAGCTTGAACTTGCGTATGAGTAGTTGGTGGTCTGTTCCACAAGCAGCACCTAACCTAGTTTTCACAGCTGATATTAAGCTTTTCCAGTTGTTCTTTGCACAGATATAATTGATCTCATTCCTATGCATACTATCTGGTGAAATCCATGTGTATAGCCTGTGTTTATGTTTCTTATAAAACATATTTGCAAGGAATAAATCATTGATTGTGCAAAATTCTATCATTCTATCTCCAGTTTCATTTCTGTCACCAAGACTATGTTGGAGATAGAAATAATAATTAAATCCTCCCATTATTTGAAGTTTGAATTCTCCATGCCACATTGTGAACCACATGCAGTGCCGTTCTACTTTTATCCATGAAGATAACAGAAGATAATAAAGAAGGAGGAAAAAGAAAATAACCAAAATAATGTCAGAAAATATTGAAAATTACGTTAGGATTTTGAGAAGCCAAAACAAAAGAAAGAGATGGTGAAGTAAAAGAACTAAACAGAAGATTTCGAAGGGCAGCTCGAGAAGATAAAGCAAACTATAATAATGAAATTTGCAAAGCGCTAGAGTCAGAAAATAAGAACTCTCTCAGCATTTCTCAAGGTGAAGGAAATGAAGAACAATGTCAGACTTGAGCTGTAATACTGAAAGATACTATGGGCACAATCTTGATGGATTCAGGAAGCATCAAAAGAAGAATGGAAGAAATACACAGAATTAATGTACCAAAAATAATTTGTTGACACTGAAACATTTCAGGAAGTTTCATATGAACAAGAGCCAGTGGTAATGAAAGATGAAGTTCAAGTAGCACTGAAGACATTGGAAAAAAAAATGGAGGCCCAGGAATCGGAGGACAGCTACCTGGCTGACTGACTGGAAGAGATCCCTATTTGTCCCCATTCCCAAGACACTTGAACCAACAGAATGTAGGAACTATTGGACAATATCATTAATATCTCATGCAAGCAAAATATTGTTGAAGACCACTTAAAATCGGCCAGAACAGTAGAGTGACAGGGAACTGTCTGAAGTATAAGCTGACTTAGAGGAGGCCGGGGCACCAGGGATATTGTTGGTGATGTCAGATGGATCCTGGCTGAAAGTAGAGAATACCAGAAGAATATATATTTGTGTCCTACTGACTGTGCAAAAGCATTTGACTGTATGGATCATAACAAATTATGGTTTACATTGAGAAGAATGGGAATCTCAGAACACTTATTCGTGTGCATATGGAATCTATACCTAGACCAAGAAGCTATTGTACAAACAAAGCAGGGGAACACTGATTGGTTTAAAATAAGAAAGGGTTTGTGTCAGGGCTGTATCATTTCTACATACCTATTCAATCTGTAGTTGTGTACCATTCAGTCGGAATCGACCCATGGCTGTTTATAGGTTCACAATGAGTCATACTCTGCATAACCGAAAAACAGCAACAACAGGCTTCCTATTTGGTAGCTCTGGTGGCCGAGTGGTAAGGTGCTGCATTACCAATCCAAAGGCATGTGGTTCAAATCCACCAGCTGTTCTACAGGAGAAGGACAGGCAATCTATTCCCATGAGATTTACTGACTCTGAAAACCCATTGGACTGGTTCCAACTCAATGACACATAACAAAAACACAGCAATATTTAGGGAGCTCTGGTGGCCTAGTGGTAAGGAGCTGATCTGTCAACCCAAAGGCATGCAGTTCAAATCCACCAGCTACCTCAGGAGAGAAGCTGGGCAGTTTGTAGAGACAGCTACATGGTTGCTATTTAGCTAATAATTTTCAGCACTGCGGCCATGTTACTGTTTTCCACTCTTAATTACTTTCCTCATAACATATGGCGAAATGATTCACTGTTATTGTTTCACTCCTACCATTAGGAAGCCAGAGCAGAATGTTCAATTGAGTCTTTCTCAACTCTCAAATTTCTACTAATGCTTGAGAATGAAACACAATCAAAGCTCTAAACTCTCTATCTTTACTCTGAGAGATGAAAAAAAAAGATCTGGCTGAGAGAGAAAGTAGCCAAGACCATGTATGTGGCCTGTGTCTGCAAACTCTTGTTTTCTTCTTTTCAGTACAATTACCCAGTCACAGGGTTTCCAGTAAACAGAATGTGTTCCTTGCGGATTCCCTGTGGCAAAATTCTACTATGAAGTATCCCTTCTCTTGAAGGGTGCTCCGAGGACACAAGAGGCTTTAACAGATAAATCAAGACATCACCAGGGATAAATGTGCAAAAACTTCTTTCCCAGCAACGCTGAGTTCTTCTTTACTCACACCAAGAGACA